TGAGGTAGCCTCTCCACTATTGCTTAGATTCTTAGTTGAGTCTTTACCAGATTTTTGAGTAGACAAATTTTCTGACTTATTAGGACCGAAGTGAAATCATAACTTTTAATCCACCTGTTTCCTGTGTTGTGTTGGTGGACCAGCTAGCTGTCCTGAGTATAGTGAAGAAAAGATGGAGAGCTCTTTCTCATAAGGCTTGGGAGACTTTCACAGTGAAAATATCACAAGACTAAATTCAAATTACCATATTTTAACAACAGCTTTGCAAACATGTTGGATATTTAGGTCTGCACAGAATGCTGGTGCTGCAGCTGAAGAGATCACATGGGCTTTACTTGAGGCCAACACATTTGTTTTTGCAATCACTGAGAATTTTAATCCTGACTTTTGTCAAGTCTGACTTTAGAAGAATAAATTTTTTGGGCTACCTTCAATATTCAATGATTTATTAATACTACAAAAGTTTTGGCCTGAAAATGAAGTGGAGGTTATACGCTTGAACCTTAAAATTCCTTAAAACACAAGTATTCAACGTAACATTTTTTTATTCTAAGAAAATTTAAGATGTTCTCGCACAATTATGTGATTGTAACTCCTTTTTAAGTCTGATAATTGAAAACATTATTTTTAAAACTATTGTACATGGAGCCAGGCGTTGGTGGCGCACGCCTTTAATCCCAGCACTCGGGAGGCAGAGGCAGGCGGATCTCTGTGAGTTTGAGGCTGGGCTGGACCGACAGCCTCGAAAACAATACCGAGAAACCCTGTCTTGTAAAAACCAAAAAAAAAAAAACTATTGTACGTGGACTTTTGGGGGAAATTAATTTTTTTCTAATTATAATAGATTCCATGTACATTTGAAAATTTATTTGTATGGTAGATTACTTATTCAAAATATAGGCAGTGCTAGCATTCATGTGGATATTCAGATAGATTATAATAAATGAGTGGTCTCCCAGGATTCAGAGATTCATGCTTCAGAGTCATCATTATGAAAGAGTAAGAGGGATGTTTTCAAACTCTACAGAGAGATGAACTAATTGACCAAAATTCCCAAATGCAGTCCCCTAATCCAAATGTCGAACCACTTTTGTGCACTTGATAAAAGAATTTCAACCAGGACAGGTTGTATGTAAATCAGACGCTTTGCTCCTTAAAGCTTGTATTATGATCTCACAAAGGCCAAGGACTCCTTTACTTCTATAACCCTGTTTGCGGGGGAGAGTATCAATGATTTCATCAAGAATAAGTGCCTTTATATTTTTCATAACTTTGTTCTTTTGAGGAGAGCATCAGGATGTTTTGACTCAAGGAGAAAGGAATACTGACTGAGTGCTCATGTTGTAGTACCCATGTGATGTCGAGAGAGGTTTGGGTTTTGAAATTTACTCATTAACTTCAGTGAGTTCTCTTTGAATCTTTAACTCTAAAAAGTTACTGTTTCTTCCAATAGTAAAACTAAACAAAACACTCTAACCAATAGCATGGAATATTTCTGATTCTTTGCACACGTGCACGTGTCTGCTGATACCATTAGAACTGGAGGTGAATGAGGAAGGCTCCCTCCATCATTGGCTTTTCCCTGCTTTCACTAATACTCTGGTGCACTCCCTCATTTGTTTTCCAAAGCTCCCAACCTTACACAGCACCGGTGGCTTAGTAGTCACTTAGCTGTGTGCATATCCCCTATTGCTTTCTTAGACTCTACATTAAAAGACATAACTTTCCAACGTGTCTTTTGAACCAACTAGCTCATTTTGTTATTTTTAATCCAGGCAGACATGAAAAGGACACATCAACAACATCCTTTTCTTCCTAAGTGTCCAATACCAAAGACTGACAAGTCCTTCCCCCAGTGAGGGTGCTTCTCTTGTTTAGAAGAAAAAAACCAATTACTAGAATGACAACTGTACCTATTTAACAGAAGCAAAAGGTCAGGAGTGTCAGCCAGGGTCTCCATTTTGTAAAGCTCCTGAATTTAGATTAACAATGGCAATTAATGATTTGTTTTTCAGAACTAAACAGGTTTTCTAATGTTGGTGACCTCTGATCTCCATGACCTATCAATGACTTTCTTTCAGTTATGGTTAGCCATGAGGAATGTTTATGACAAATCTCCTAACTTTCTCTTCATTTCTTTAAAATTTCCTTTATTCATGTGTATAGGCTTTAGTCTACAGGTATATCTGTGTACTATGTGCATGCCTGGTCCCTGGTGAGGTCAGAAAATGGTATCAGGTCACCTGGAACTGGAGTTATAGGTGGTTGTGAGCTACCATGGAGATGCTGGCGATTAATCCCGGGTTACTTGGAATAACAGCAGTGCTCTGAACTACTGATTAATCTCACCCATACCTCATGTTATTCTTTAGTTCATCATTCCCCTGTTACTCCTAGCAACAGCCAACTGATGGCCAGAAAAGAAACACATTCTCTTTCTCCCTTTCTTTTTGCTGCCCTATATTTACCTTGTCTGTAAGCAGACACTTAGCTGTCTATCTTCTCCCTTATACCAGATTTTTACAAAATAAAACCTGTGCTATTATAGCCATTCATTACCTTGTCTGCCTTTCCTCCTCACTGACCCTATAGAATATGGGTACACCTAGGTAGAAACAAGATCTTTTCATGATGCTATTGTGCAAACATTGTGAAGTACATGTACTGCAGCGGTATTATTCATATTTAACAAGAGGCTTTGATTACATCTGGATTCAGCCTCATGAGTGACAATAAGATAGAAGCTTCAGTCATTCAGAATAACATAAACAGCATTTGTAGATTTCTCTAGCTTTCCAGTTTGGGGTAATTTAAAACCCTCCAAATTAGACTACTGGAAAAAAAATCACTGGAAATGCAAATACATAAAAGGCTGTCCAGGAGACATGTGAACTGACAGGGATAATAACCTTGGCAGTTCTGTAATCGCTGAGCACACCAAAGCTGACAGAGCAAATACCTTCCTTCTTCCTACTGACTAAATGTACCTAAAATGTAATGCTTTAAGCGAGCCAGATGAGAACATATCGTTCTCGGAGCTTGTCTTTCAATCTTTTTTTTCAGACTCATCATTTCTTGCTGTGTTTCACAAGGCAAGGATGTGGTTTAATATTGAACTAGTTACTCCATGATCAGCTGTGTTAAAATCCATTACGAAGACAACTTTTCAGGCAAGGAGCAAATAGTAGGCGTAATCCCCTACTTAGAATGGCCTTTTCGAGAATCAGTCTACCTCTATCCATCGTATCAACATCATTCCAGGAACCGCTGAATCCTGACTACTCGATGAGTAGATAAAGAACCTGGAGGAGTACATATCGGCATTATTTTTCCTCCATGCCCATTTTGTTAATGAAGCAAGTGTCAACGGAAGCTGGTCAGAAATACTTTGACACCCATCTGCTTGCTGAGACCCTGACTGTGTCTGCTTCTGATTTAGTTCACTGTTGTCAGATTATTTCTACTCTTTCTGGATTTTTTTAGGGCTGCTATAACAAACACAATGGATGAAGTTGCTTACCAGAATGTATTGTAGTCGCCATTCTGGAGGTTGGAAGTTGAAGTTTTGGCAGGGTCATGCTCCCTAAGAAGCCTTTCTTTGCTTGCTAGCTTGTAAGTAACCCAGGTGTTCCTTGGATTATGACCTGGTAACTCCAGTCTCTGCTATTCTTGCCTCCTTTTCCTCTCCGTTTAACCAGCTTTACCTCCTGTGAAGGCAGCAGTCATGGCAGACTCTTGACAGTGGCAGCATCATAACAGAACAGCAAGCTCCCTGAAAGAAAACATCTGGTGAGTGGCTGAGGGACTGGAAAGATGTGGTGAACTCACAGGAAGCAACAGCTGGTGAGACACCAGGTAAAGTCCAGGGGTGCTGAACCTTCGGTTTATAAAGGACACGATAGAACCAAACTTGCAGCACGGAATGAAGTTTGTAAGGAAGGTGGTAAATGCCTCCCACCACCACCATCACACACACACACACACACACACACACACACACACACACACACACTAACATTGCAAACAAAAAAATAAAAGTGAAATCTCCAGAAACACTCACTACCTAAGCACAATTTGGATGACAAGCTCACAGGCTGTATGAAGCAGACACAGGGAAGGACCATTGCTACTGTCCATTCTTTCAGCTGGGGCAAAGGAGGAAGATAGTGGTAAGAACAGAGTAGAGCAGGATGAGAGATACCATAATAGATGGAGTCATTATAGGCTTGAGGAGAGCGCTGACACTAGTGAGATCTCCAGAGATCTGCAAGGATGACACCAACTGGAAAAATAAGCCATAGCGTAGAGACTACATTAATAGTCCCTCCCTGATGATAATGTTGATAACTACCTTATATGCCATCCTAGAACCTTCATACAGTGACTGATGGAAGTAGAGTCAGATACTCACAGCTAAACACTGAACTGAACTCCTGGAACCCAGTGACAGAGATGGAGGAGTGATGAGCAAAGGGGTCAAGACTGTGCTGGTGAAACCCACAAAGACAGCTGACTGGACAAGGGGGAGTTCTTGAACCCCAGACTGATGTCTGAGAGGCCAGCAGGAGACTGATCCAGACTCCCTGAATGTAGTTTCAGTGAGGAGGCCTTAGGTAGTATATCAGTGTTTACCATGGCTTACGAATGAACTTTGGGAGTGCATTCCACATGAAGGGATGCTCTCTCGGCCTGGACATATGGGGAAGGGCCTAGGTTCTGCCCTGGATGAAATGACAGACCCTGGAGATCCCCCAAGGAGGGCCTCACCCTCCCTGGGGAATGATGTGGGGCTTGGGTGGGGGACTGGGGAGATGCTGGTGGAGGGGCAAAGGAGGAGTGGTGGGAGAAGGAGCTGGGATTGACATGTGAAGCATGCATGTTTCTAATAAAAAAATATATTGAGAAAAAAAAGAAACACTAAAATCAAAATGTTCCACAAGGGACAGAAAGAAACACGTCACTATTGTACCTCCCAATGCGAAATGGCCCAGCTCTACTGAGTAATCCAGAAAAAAAAAAACAGGAACCATGCGAAAAATGCAACCCCTCTCTGGCCTTCAGGTGTTGAAATCCATGTGTGGAAGGCAGGGCAGCCCAGCAGGAAGATAGCAGGCAGGGGGACACTGGCCTGAGGGTGCCTCTGCTAAAGACTGGGCAGGGGATGGGCCCCTCTTCAGCACGAAAGGAAAGCTTGCTGCTGATTCCTGCTCAGGCTTCAACTCGGGAGAGAAGACAGACAGGAGACGGCAGACAACCTATTCTTGGCTAACTTGGTTGAACTCCAAGGGTGTGCTGGCTAGATTTATGTCGACATAAGTTTTGGGGAGAAGCGACCTCAGTTGAGGAAATACTTCTGCCAGGTTGGCTTGCAGGTAAGTCTTGGGGAGATTTCTTGGTGAGCAGCTTGTACGGGAGTTCCAGGGTCCTATAAGAAAGCTCAGCAAGCCACGGGGAGCAAGCCAGCAAGGGCGCTCCTCCGTGAATCCTGCTTCAGTTCCTGCCTCCAGGTACCAGCCTTTAGTTCCGCCCATGCCTTCCCTCAGTGGTGGACTATGATGTGGAATCAAAATAAACCCTTTACTCATTAAATAGCCCTATCACAGCCATTGAAACTTGATCTAACACAAGGGAGGAAGCAACCATTCTTCCACAGAGTCAAATATAAAACATAGCTCAGTAGGTGAGGGGAGGTACGCGCCTCTTAGCAAGGGAGAAAGAGCAGCTGCTATTTCTTCTGTAGTAGTGCTTTTATTGTTTAACCATTTTCAGTCATTTAAGACTCACTTGTGTGATTATTTTTAATTGCTTTGTGTTGCTCAGTTATGCTTTATGATTGTTCTGTCTCCTCCTACACTCACTTTGTTTTGCTTTTTCTGTATGTCTTTTATATACATTTTCACTATAATTTTACTTCATCTTCCTTCCTTCCTCCCTCCCTCTCTCCCTCCCTCCTTTCCTCCCCCCCTCTCTTTCTTTCATTCCAGATTCACTTTTAGCTATTTTATTTATTGGAAGATGTATATGTGCCTACGTTAAAAATGTCTATTTGCATTTTCCTCCCATGTCCCCGTAACCACCCCTTCTAAAATTAATGTAGGAAGTACTGACATATGAATATATATTCTAATTAGTATTGCCTCTATTTACATGTGCTGTAGGCTGATTGCTACAACAAACATCAAACAAAACTGGACCTCCCTCCCTCAGTAGCCATTGGCTGATGATAGGTCTTCATCCAGGGTATGGGGCCTATGTGAAATTATCTTCATTCATATCTATTGTTAACGTCTTTGTAGGCCTTGAGCAGGCAGCCATATTGTTGAGAGTTCGTTGGAGCATCATTCCTGTCCTGATCAGAGAATTATAATGTGTCAATCATCATGATTATTTTCCATCCCCTCTTTTGTGATGTTCTCTAATCCTTAGATATCGAATTCTGTTAGATATTTCCTATTTGGAATAGGAAACCCTACAACCTTTTTTTTTTTCTCTGAATTTTGACTACTTGTGGATCTTTCTACTAGTATACATCTGCTGCAAAGGGATGAATGGGTAATGGAAATATGTGATGATGGGATCCCAGTCACCTGCAAAGAGAATATAGCCATAAAGTTCCCAGATAAATTCATGAAACTGAAAATATTACACTGGTTTACGTATTTACTTCATAAAATATTCACTTTATAGCCAAGACCTGGAAAGACAAATGCCACATGTTCTCTCTTATTTATGTATTCTAAATCCAAATCTTTAGATATGAGCTTATACTGTGGAATAACTGCAGAGACCAGGGAATTGTAAAGGGAGTATTACGGGGGTGGGGGTGGGGGGGGGACTCTAGACAAGGGGATGGCGACACATGGGTGCTATGAAGAGGGAGTGAAGGAAAATGCATAGAGGGAGAGGGAAGGAATAGAGAGAAACAACACTAAGGATGTTAGGAAAGACCACAGTGAACACCATTACTTTTATAGACCCACTTAAATATTCACACATCATGTTTGTGTGTGCCTCTCTGTGTGTGCGTGTGTGTGTGCATGTGTGTGTGTGTGTGTGTGTGTGTGTAGTTTAGTGCAGTTACACTGCACAATGCATTAATGTGTCTACCAAGAGGAGTAAAGTACCTAACAAAAAACTCAGTGTGTGGCAGGAGATACTTCCCTTCAAGTTATTGGGTAAGAGAGGCCAAAAGAAACAGCCTAAACAATACAGACTATTGCAATTGCTCCTGGTTCCTTGCTAGGACGTCAGTGTAAGCCCCTATTGCCGATGACATCACACACTTTGGTCACAGGACTTGGAGAAATCAAACTGGTACTGACCTAGGAGCCTCTTACCTGAGAGTTATTTCCCATATGGTCAGAAAGTGCTATGGAAGCTGCCAGGAAGAGAAGTCATTCATAGGCCCCACTAAGTTGTAAAGTAGGACACACACAGCAATGATAAAACCAGCTAAATATCCATAATCCCCGTGCTGAAAAAATGGCACTTGTATCTTGGGGGTCAATCAACATCTCTCTAATTGGAACTCAAGCCAGCTCAAGTGGAGGGAACCCATGCCTGACACTGTAAACCTAGCAAAAAACACATGGTTGGAAAGGTCATACGACCTAGAGGAGAACCAACTATTACCTTATTCCTAAGTCAATCTGAATGTTTTCCGAATACTCATTGCTATACCCATAAATAAGGGAAACTCTCGTACCTCATCAATGATAATTCCTCCAGGTTTTCCTAATTATAGCTTTTAGTTAAGTATAAATAACAGTTATCATTAATGTTCTATCTCCTTAGTTTGCTACTCTTAACAGGTATGTGATTGGAGGTAAGCATTGCATTTTACTATATATAGTGGAAGGCTTGGTGTCAAATCATTGTTGCTACTACTGGTGTCTTCATTTCCTACATGATAAGCTCAACTTAAGACACCACTAGTAAGACCAATTTAAAATAAAGCAATCTATGAAAAAAAGCAGGATATAGACATTGAGTGTAGTGGTGCATGACTGTAATCCCAATATTGGGGCTGAAGACCAAAGCATTAGGAGTTTAAGGGCATCCTCAGCAAAGGAAATTTAAAGCTAATCTGGGCTACATGAGACCCTGTCTAAAATTATTTTTAAAAGACTTGAGACTGGCAGATTTTACCATCATAACAGATAATGCAAGTTATAAAATAGAAACAAAATATGAAAAAGCAAGTCACAATCAAGAAAACTCTAATATCCTTGATAAATTAAACCAAAGGCAAGGAAATAGTTGATATTCTAGACAGAGAATACAAAATCACAACTTTAAAAATAGTTAAGGATTTCAAAGCCTATTCAAACAGGCAAAAAATTCAGGAAACAAATTCAGCAAGGAAACTGAATTTCTAATGAAGAGACATCAGTGTTTAAGAGCTCTTGCTGCTCTTTCAGAAGTGGAGTTTGAATCCCAGTACCCTTGTCAGGTGGCTTACAACTGTCTATTAACCCAGCCCCATGGATCCAATACCTCTGTCTCCATGAGCCCCTGCACTGAAGCATCCACATATACTCACCCCCATACACATAACTAAAATTAATAAAATCAATTGTTAAAAAATGAGCCAAACATAAACATTAGAGATGAGATGATTAATCAAGTAAAAAAAAAAACAAGATTGACAACAACAATGGACTCAACCAAGCAGAAGAAAGAATAGCAGCGATGGAATTCATTGATAAGGAGATGGCAAAGAGTGCAGAAATGGGTTGATTAGAGACAGAAGAAATGGAGACTAGGAGAGGGTAGATCTGTGGTTGAAGGTGACACGCTATAATGTGTATATGTGTTAAGGGGGGTGGGCGGACTTAGTCTCTATTGAAGAAAAACACTCTCGGGAAGGATTCAGTAAAGAAAGTTCTTTAAGAGGTTTATTCATTTTTTTCCTTTTGCCTTATGAAAAGGCACAGCTGATAGTATTGGGAACTAGCCCATCTGCAGACACTGGTGTTTCTAACTGCTGAGTGGGAGATAAAGGGAGCAGATATAGACTCCATGGTGGGAACCCCAAGGAATGCACATGTCCTGAGTCCTCAGTCTTTTAAAGAATTGAGCTTGATCTAATAATTTATTCTGGGTGAGAAGGGGCTGTCAGTATGGAGAGGTTGAAATTATCTCGTGGAGTGGAGAGGGTATTGTGAAGACTCCTTTGAGAAAGTAGACTAACTCAGAGACCTTTGTGACTTTGTTTTTTAGAAGTGTCTCAGATGTCTAGGTGGGAGCCTGATTCACAGAGTGTTGTGGAGCAGTTATTAAAATAATGTTATGTGATCTTGCAGGTGAAAATTGACTACGATGCCGTATGCATTAAGGCCAAGTAATAGGGACAGGGTTCCTTCTGCTTACATTTGAACTTTAGCCCCTTAGTAAACTAAAGATAGTTTATTGTTGTTTTTTGTTTTGTTTTAATTTAAATTAGAAACAAGCTTGTCCTGGAATTCACTCTTTAGACCAGGAGGACTTTTAAATCAGAGATCCTCCTGCCTCTGCTACTCCAGTGCTGTGTGTAAAGGTATGTGCCACCACCACCCAGCATGTTCTTGGCTTCCAGAAACTACTGACTTTTGGAGTTTGGGATTATATCAGTAAATGTATATTTTCTTTATTGCACTTTACTTCTAAGGAAATGTTAGTTTCCTTAGAAAAACAGGGCATTATAAGTCTCTGCCTTCCTGAAACCATTGTTGAGGCAGAGAGATGGATAAGACAGAGCTTGCTGCCTTCAGAATGGAGTTTAATTCCTGGAGCCTGCCCACAGGATGGAAGCAGAGAATCATTTCCTGAAAACTTTCCTCTAACGTTACAATTGCCCATGGAAAGCTCCTACACCTGCTTGCCTGCATTCAAGCAGACAGACAAAAAGACACACACACACACACACACACACACACGCGTGCACACACACACACCAAATTAAAACACTGTTGCCTACTAACCCTGTGTTGATCAAAGCCTCTAACAAGCAGGAGAGGTGAAGGAAACCTCTGTGCATCCAGGAACCAGAGCAGTCCTCACTACTGACCGGGAGGCTTGTGTCAGATTTCCAAAATTTTCCTCAGTTGACACAGACTTGACTCTACTCACTTTGATCTGCACTGTTGACTCATTTCAACAAATCAGCTTCAATATTTGCTAAGTCTAAGAATATCTTTTTCTTTTTTTTTTTTACGAGACAGGGTTTCTCTGTATTGTTTCGGAGGCTATCTGTCCAGCCCGGCCTCGAACTCACAGAGATCCGCCTGCCTCTGCCTCCCGAGTGCTGGGATTAAAGGTGTGCGCCACCACCGCCTGGCAAGAATATCTTAATTTTCATATTATCACATATTTCTTTGGAGTTACTTAGGCTTCTCTTTTAAATGTTTATGTTTTTATGAAATGGAGGTAAGCACAATCTTTTTGTAACTATCATTATTGAAAATGGCTTAGTAACTTTGGATTGACCACATCAGAAACCTACTAAAAGTACCCCAGGAGCCTAACTGTGAATATATCTCATATCTCAGTTCATTTCTGCATTTTCCTATCCTCCACACAGCCTGTATTCCTTCTTTCTAGCAGAAATGGAAAACCCTTCTCTAATAATTTGTGAACCAATGATATGACTTTGTTTTCCTTACAGCATTAGTAGAAGATTAAAATATTTCATCTTTTAAGAGGCAATATTGTTTCATAGCACGGAATGAGAAAAACTTCTGGATGATGTACCATGCTATCTATGATAAAACAGTGAGCATGACTGTCAATTACATTCAATTATGACAGCTATGTTTCCACCATCATGATAAATTTTATTTGGTAGTTTTGAAAAGGCTATTCATCATTCCGAATGATCAGCTTCTATGAATTTCAGTGTGGTTTGTTTTCTCCAAGGAATCACTTGCACACGAAATGCATTCTAGAATAGAGTTTAATATGCCGTGAATGGCTTGAATATAAGTGACTCATTACTAGCTAAGTGACAATTAATTCATTTCAACATTCATCAGTTCATTTCAATTCTGGTTAGGCAAATTAACCACCTGAGGTGCACCTGCTTGAATGCATCTTAGGTCTGCATATAAACTTACCACAGGGAAAAAATAACCTGTTTCTAGGGGAAAGCAGAACACACTACAACATAGTAGATGCTGGGTAAGCAGTTACTAAACCAATGAAAAGGGTTTAAATCTTTACTACTGATTTCTTTGTGTAAAGTATAAATTTACACTACACACACAAAAGCACACACACATATGAATCTGGAGATGCACATATATGTATATGTAGTGCAACTATCTATCTATCTGTCTATCCAGATTCATTTTCATATTGTCAAATATATTTCAACAACTTTAACTAAATCATTACATCATTAAGTGCCTGTTATACCTTTAATGTGGCTTTTGCCTTCAAATATTACAAGCAACAATTAAAGATTTCAGAGCCCTTCCCTGAAGAGAAAGCTTGAAAGTTGCACACAGGGCTACCTAAGATCTGGCCTCAGATGTGCTGTGGAACAGTCTTTGTACACCATAAACATGTATGGCCCTCACTGGTGAGTAAAGAGCTGATTGGTCTATAGCCGGGCAGGAAGAGACTGGGCAGGAGGGCCAGCCTAGGAGGATGCTGGGAAGAAGAAAGGCAGAGTCAGAGGAGACGCCGTGAGATGCAGAGTGAGCAGGATGAAAGTACATGCACGAGGTGGAAGAGCCTGGGGGCAGCAGATAAATGGATTGAAATGGGTTGATTTAAGTTGTAAGAACTAGCTGAAAACAAGCCTAAGCTACTGGCCCATTATTTATAATTAATGTTAAGTCTCGGTGCAGTTATTTGGGAACTGGCTGGTGGCAGATGACTGTACCTCTAAAGCAGAACATGTGGAGATCTGAGGTCAGCCTTGTGTGTTCATCTGCAGGTGCCATCTACATCGTGTCTTTAAAAATGAATTTATTTTTTAAGAGTCCAAACCAAGCTCCGCCTCCCTTCTCTCCTCCCACTCCCCCACTACCCCCACCTCCTATTTGCTCCTCAGGGAGGGTAAGCCCTCCCCTAGGAAGTCTACCAAGTCTGTCCCATCATCTCATTGAGGCAGGGCCAAGGCACCTCTCCACCCCACAGCCCTGCTGTCTAGTCTGAGCAAGGTATCTCTCCATATAGAATGGGCTCTGCTAAGTCAGTTTGCACATTATTGTTATGTCCTGCCAGTGACCTCATATATTGTCCCAGTTACACCATTGTCACCTATACTTAGGGAGTCTAGTTCGGTCTCATGCAGGTTCCCCATTTGTCAGACCTGAGTCAGTGATTTCTCACTAGCTCGAGTCAGCTGATCCTGTGGGATCTGCTTCGCTGTTTGAGATAAGTTCTCTCACTTGGTGTGGAACTAGCTGATTAGGCGAGGCTTGTTGGCCAGTTCCAAAGGAACTCCAAAACTTCCCTCTGAAATACTACAAGACAGTCCTCTATCGTCTTCATTTCTTTCAACATCCCTGTCTACTCACCTCTCAGGTAAGAGGCCTCTGAGCTCTGAGTACACGAAGGTTCCTTATGCCCAACCAAAGTTCAGATGCTGCCACACATGACCAGGTCCGCCACACCAACACCGTATAGTCAAATTTCTAGACAGACTATTTACTAGAGGACAATCTAAGACAAGATAATAAGAGGAGTACAGTCAATCACTTATTTTTTTTGTGAATGTATCCAACATAATCATTTATCTCAGTCTGAGAGATAACATTTCATGACTATGGAGACACAATAAATAACTCCAAAGACCAAAGATTTTCCCCTGGTGCTCGGAGACTTACCCATATGATCAGACATCATACACAGTCTGCAAAGCCGTTTAGTGTCTGAGCTCATGGATGCAGACACTGTAAGCTACACCAGCTTTCCATGGAGTGTTGACCCGCTTGATCTTTCGTAAGCCTTACGCATGCAACCACAGCTTCTATGAGTTTTTCATCAGTGTAATGACAGACTCTACCAGATCTCGAAGACATCCTTCAGCAATTCTTCCTGGCCTCTGGCTCTTACCATCATTCCAAACCCTCTTCCAGACTATCTGGTACACTTCAATCTTACTTGTCAAGCTTTTTCAAACAGTAACGTTTCAGGACCTTTTACTACTATGTTTGTTGTGTCACAGTAATTTGATCATTCACTCCACAGGGTGATTCTTGAACATCAAGAGCGCGTTAGACAACGATGAGATGAGAATTTGGAGGTGAGCAGACACCAGAGCAGAATGTTCAATGTTAGAGCCGTTTAACAACAGCAGCAACAGCAAAAGAACACAACAGAACAATGACCAGCATCACACCCAGAGAAGGTAAATGCTGGTGCTATTATGTAAATGTGAAATTAAAACTGATCTGTAATACAAAGGTTTCTGTTGAGACATAAACCTTGTTTTAGAAAACATAAAAGTAACTGAGAGGTTCCTACACAGTCTTGAATACTTGATTTTTCCCTCTATCCTACAGTGTCCACAGAGAGTTTCAGACATGCGCAGAAATATGATTTGGATAGACCGTGCTTGTGGCTGTGTGGTGGGTTAATCTATTTGAAGAAGGAATGGAGAGATAAGTAGAGGAACTGAAATTCTAAGATGTAATAGGAATAAGGACAGAGTTTTTCAGGGGTGGGGAGAGATGGCTCAGCAGTTAAGAGCACTGGCTGCTCTTCTAGAGGACCCAGGTTCAATTCCCAGCACCCACATGCTCACTTACAGCTATCTGTAACAGCACTTCCAGGGGGTCATCCTATACACCATTATGTAGACGTTCACCCAGGCAAAAACCCAGCACACGAAATAAAAGTAAGTAAAAAAAGAATGATAGTAGAGTTTTCCTTGTAACAGGACTTTGGTAGATTACAAAGGAATTAGATGTGTCGGGTGTTTAGAGTTTTGCTTGTAACAGGACTTTGGTAGGTTACAAAGGAAATTAGATGTGTCGGGTGCCCACATCAGGGAAACAATGAAATAAACTGGAGGTGGATTCCTGCAGCCCTGCTGTTGGGAGGTTTCAGCCTACCTTGGCCTGGCAGCTTTCTTCAAGCTCAGCAATATGGAGGACTCCTTCTCTGTGGCAGAAGACATCCTGTTCTCTACCTGACCATATTTGGAGACCGTCTCTAGACCTGGATGCCTGACAGATCTCTAGTACAACCCTTGACATAGTTTCCTGCGGAAGCTTTCCCCCTACTGCACATATTGCAATCAGGCATTTTTAGTAGAATCTTTATGATAGAACTGCCTTCCACAGATAATACCTAAGACGTCTACTAGGAGCATTATGATAGGATAGTGCTATTTAATGAAAGCTGGATGATTGCCCAGTTACAGTCCCCAGTTCTACATACCCCCTATACCCTGGACCAAAGCTGATCTCTCTTCTTGAGTTAGACTCCCAGGAGTCTATTTCCATTGTGTTCACAGGCCGTACAAACATCTCTGTTTGCTGTTTCTGCCCATTTGTCCTCATGGACTGGTGGCCAATGAACCCTGGGGATAAAGAGGACCCCACAGGTGAAAAAAAAGGAGATGTATTAAACAGTTGATTTTAGAGACCCTTGTAGATTTTCTGGGGAGGTAACATTAGGGGAGCAGAGACCTTCAGATCTCTTGCATGTGGATGGATGATCATATAAGTAATACAATCTACAGAATGTCTTTGTGTTAGAGACTCTACTCATCTAGTGTCTCGCAGGCCAAGAGTAGGCTGCTTGCAGGTCTCTCAGTTTTCAGGCAGATGGATGAGTCTAAAGCTGGGAGCAGATGCGAGCATTATCAGCCTGGCCTAGAAAGCAAGACGATACACACAGAGGGTAGCAGCAAAAGGAAAGAATCCATGCATTCTCAGAAGTAGCCAATGAAACAACGACCTGGCGATGGTAGAGAATGGAGGCTGGTACCTGTTGCCAAATGGAGATTGAGAGGAAGAGCACTTTCGCGGAAACCAGGGTCCGTAGCGTGGGGAGCAGTTGAAGGACAGATATCCTACGCGAGACTCAGCCGTCAGGAGGTCGCTTGTAAACATGTCAGTGGAGAGGTGGGGTGTGAAACAGTAGAAAGAGAACAGCCCATTCCTTCAGAAGATTGAAAAACTGAGCTACTGTTTGTCTGGGAGAGTCGGGGAGATTTCTGGATTCTTTCTGGACTAGCTTGATTGTAAATGGGAGATGTTATAGAAAATTTCCAAACACGCAAGGCAGTACAGGGCTGCACCATGAAAACGTGTAGTGTTGGTGGGGTATGGTGTGGCGTATGCGTCCCTGCAAAACACCATGCCAGGTGGAGAAACAATCTGTGAAGAAGTGAGAATGAAAGCTGTGTCTAGCCCGGCTAGAGTCTGATGCCCGGCAGTTTATTATAAGCATATTTTAACGCAATAGAACTTGGAAAAAGTTTTCCAGGAGATAATCATCCCGTCATGACTGCACAACGAAGTTTAAGGTGCGACTACATATAAACTCCTTTGCAGAGTGCATGGCCACCGTGAAGATAGGTCCTGTAGTAAGTTTAAACAACGAGACTCTAGTGTGGTCTCTGACTGAGATAACACAGGACCCAGCAGGCTATAAAGCACGTGCAACATCTTCCCTAAGTGTGTTCTATTAACTGGGCGCTGAAGACAAGGAGAGGTGTAGAGAGAAGCCTTTTCCTTGCCAGCCGCTTTGGTTTTTCCCCACCAGTCACCTGGGCTCTGCCGCGTCGTAGTCCCCAAATAACATTCAAGATGCTGTATTAATTATGAAGCTGTTGGCCTTGCTTGTTTCTTACTGGCTAGCTCTGACTTAAGTATTTAACCCATCTAAGTATTTCTCTTACTGGATGGACATCTTACTTCTCTGGCGGGCTACATGATGACTCCCTGTGTTTCTCCTACCCAGAGTCCTCCTGGACTCCTAGTCCCACCTATCTTGCTTCCCTATTGGCCAACAGTGCTTTATTGAAACATACACAGGATTTCCCCATCAGAGAGGGTCTGGGATAAACATTCTGTGGGATGTTGGATGAGGCAACAACAGAGGGTTGCCAGGTTGTTAACCACGTCCTCCCAGCCTTCTCTGGTGGAACGCAGGCCTTTTATTTCTCCCCCGAGGAGACACCCCTGTGTGCTTAAGTTCCTGGTTTCTCTAGGGCTCTGTAAGCACAGAGGTGTCAGCTAACCTTCAGTGTTTTGCTCCAATGTTAACTGCCTCCAAGTTCTCACCTCATTGCTTCCTAACACCTGCATGATATTCAAGAATCACTTTGCTGAGTGTGAATGATCAAATCATTATAACGGAAAGGGATTTGGAGGAAGAATGGCAGTAAGCCCTGATACCTCCCAAAGGCAGGGCCAAATGCTCTTGACTATTGCCCTCCAGGGGTCCCTTCTATTCATTGCTCCTGGATGGGCGTGTGTCTGGTCCCCATTGCCTCTTGGCTGTATGCTGGGGATTAAAACTAGAAAGACAAAAGCCATGGTAAGAAGAACAAAAGGGTATAATGTATAATGGTTTTTTTTTTTCTGGGGAGGGGGCAGGTGCCAACATATGTACTGAGGTTGGAGCAGTGCCCCCACTCTGTAAGTATGACATACAAGTCAATGAGACATTCCACAATTTTTATTTATTCTAGAAACGGGGGGGGGGGGGAGTGAGCACCACGTGAGTTGGCCCTTTAATATTATGTGCCTTCTGCAACAAAGGAAGATGATGTTACTGCGCTGACACGTTCAGAGAACTTCCAAGGCAATTTGGTATTTGAATTTAATTGCTAAGAAGAAGGCTTGTTTGTTCTTTTCTTTTTTTCTGAGTTTCTTCCAGGAAAAGCAGGACGTTGAGGGAGCTGCAGTGGTTTGTGCTGGCGGAATGTCAGATCACAATGACCAGGCAGCTTGGCACAAAGGGACTTGTAGGAGTCAGTGCTGCCTGGGCAGACCTCTGAGGAGTTTAGTTCTCTGTGTTTCCGATTATAGTTCATAAAGGAGATTTTTGGATCAGCATGGAAACATACATCTGAAAACCATGTACTTTAGAATCTGCTGCAGGAAAATTCTGAATTGGGGGTTAGTCTGGGCTATACAGAAGGAGGCTGTCTCAAAGGAGAAAGGGGCATTTAAAGGCTTTATTTCTTTTTTTAAATATTAGTATGTATTTCAAATATTTTAAAATTACACTGCTGGATGCACACCTTTTGTGATTAATATCTCTTGTGGCTCTTGAGAAAACTATTTTGTTGTCTTTGATACTTTCTGACTTGACCTATTTATTTTCAGATTGATATTGCTATAATATTTCCTTTCGCCTTTCCTTCTAACTTTTTTTCACATCTCTCCTTTCCTTTTTTCAATTAATGTCAAATCCACAGACGATCTCATGTCTATTTCTGCTCCAGGTAAAACTTATACAAACAGAAATTTCCTAGACTTTCACATTTTTTAATTATTATATTATTAAAACAGTAATATTAATGGTGTAAGTGAACATATTTTTCAGTAATTCACCTGGAGTTTTAGCAGTCTGGTTAAGACACGGTTGTGTTTGGGGACTGGAATCTAGGGTGAATCCCAGCTCTGTCGAGTTGGTTACCTATGTATAACTTGAGGAGTTACTTACCCTCCTACACAGTATCAGTTTTCTACATGGAGTATGGAAATGACAGAGGTTTGCCATGTCGCATAAATGTCCCCACACAGTGCCTGGACAAAGGACCTTTCCCCCTTAGTGTCCTAACCCTGGTTAAATACCTTAACCCTAGATTTCTATTGTTGAGCAGAATTGGATATTTGGTTTATTTTCCCACCGTGCCACTGTAATGGCATCAGAGTTATAATTACATAGCTAAGGAAGTGAATCTCTACATTTGATTCTACTGTTGTAAATTAAGGAGCTGATTGATAGAAGCAAATGAACTGGGTTTTGTTTATGATTTGCTGTACTGAGAACAGTGTGATTAACTCCTATGCAGACATTTCTGATAGTATTATGGAATGGAGGTGGAACTGGGATGGATATATAAAATGAGATTGTTTCTAATTTAAAAAGAGATAACAAAATAGAATAACTGTAAGATTACACCATAATAATATTCACACGATAAAAGTTTCACACTTTTTTTGTCTATTCTTTTATGAAGTTGTTTGAAGCACTTATATTTCATGTGCAATCCATGTACACCCCAAGCAACCTCACAAGCACCATCACACTGAGCACCTCTGTCTCTGAGAGATGCTACAATTTTAAGAATTTCAGAAATAAACAAGAAAGTTAGTAGATGAACTGGCAGACTCTGGGAATCCCCCACGGAGGATCTCACCCTCCCTGGGGAATGGAGTGGGTGTTGGTTGGGGGTCTGGGGGGGTACTGGGGGTATGGGGGAGGAGGGGATGGAGAGGGAGCTGGGATTGACAAGGGAAGTAAGCTTGAAATAAAATAAAAATGTGCATAAAGGAAAAAAAACAAAAAAACAAATAAATGAATTTATCATTTTCGAACACATATGAGTTTAACTCCATTAACAATATATGTATTCTGATTTAGAAACCAGAGAGATTGCTGTGAATCTGTCTATTCATTATTGATGATAGCCACAGTCTGGACTTGGGAAAGCGAGAAGAAAGCAAAATTAGACAGTGTCTCTATAAGAATTGTATTCACACCAACAGGCTATCATTGCTTGCACTCTTTTTAAAAACTCCTCTTTTAGCTAAATAAAAAACCACGTACATTGAATTCAGTGATCAGAGGGAGGAAGAGGAGGGAGATATATATTACAGTCTCTTTTCAATGGAAATTACAGGAGGACAATGGTTTCTTCGTCAGGTAAGAACAACACAGGCTTGCT